GAGGCTGAGGGGAGGATCACTGTGAGTTTGAGACCAGCCTGAGCTACACAGTGAGTTCCAGATCGGTCTCAACTACATAGTGAGGCCCTATCTCAACCCCCCCCAAAGAAAAACATTAACAGGGAGCCAGGGATTTAGCTCAGTTGTTCTGCAGCCTGCTTCACAAGCCCAAGGTCCCCAGTTTAATCCCTGTACCAAAAACAACAACAAAAAACCACATGAACAGGGCTAGGATGTAGCTCAGTGATAAGCGCACTTGCCTAGCATACACAAGGCCCTAGGTTTGATTTCCAACACTGAAACAAATAAACAACAATATAGTCGATAGATAGATAATCTGCAAAAATATACATAAAAAAGGCCAGGGATTTAGCTCAGTGGTTCTGCCGCTTGCCTTGCAAGCACAAGGACCTGAGTTCAATCCCCCGTACCAAAAAAAAAAAAAAAAAAAAAAATACAAAACATATATATACATCAAAGCCTGGCACAGTGGTGGATACCTATAATCCCACCATTCAGGAGGCTGAGGCAAGAGGACTGGTGTGTATTCAAGGCCAACCTAGCTACATAGCAAGTTCCTGTCTCAGAAACACTAACGAGGGACGGGGATTTAGCTCAGCGGTTCCACCACCCGCCTTGTAAGCACAAGGTCCCAAGTTCAATCCCCAGTACCAAAAAAACAAAAAAACAAAAAACAAAAAACAAAAAAGCACTAACAAGAGGGGCTGGGGATTTCGCTCAGTGGCACCATGTCTGCCTGGCAAGCACAAGGCCCTGAGTTTAATCCCCAGCCCCCCCCCCCCCAATGAAAAAAACACTAACAAGAAAGAAAGAGAATATAAGAACATCAAAATTTTACTTTAATAGTAGTTATCACACTTATGGACTTCTCTAAGGTAAAAACATCTAAGAGAGACAGAATATCAGGCAGTCTGAGCAGAAAGATATTAACAAAACACTAACAAACAGAATGCAAAAAAGGATTATATAACATGACCAGGAAGGATTTATCACAGGAAAGCTAGGTTGGTTTAATATCTGAAAATCAGTTAATGCAATATACCATATCAATAAGACAAAGGACAAAAATCCATCTCTCAATAATTGATAGATTCTCCCAAGCAACAAGAGCAAAAATAAACACATAGCATGGCATAAAACTAAAAAGCTCTGTGCAGCAAAGAAAACATTTTAGAGTGAAGAGAGACATAGATTAGAACTGAACTCAACAGCCAAAAACCCCCCAAAACCCCAAATACAGTAACTTAATCAAAAGCAGGCAAAAGTGGCCAAAAGGCCCAGAGGCATAGGACAGTGGTAGAATGCTTGCCCAGCATGAAGGAGGCCCTGGGTGGTTTGATCCCCAGCAGTGAAAACAAACAAACAAAAAACTTAAAGGACCTAAGCAAACATTTCTCAAAAGACACAGAAATAGCCAACTGAGCCAGGTTTGGTGGCACATGCCTGTAATCCCAGCACTGGGGTGGCTGAGACAGGAGGATCACTAAATTCAGGCCAGCCTGAACTACCTAACCAGACCCTGTCTCAAAAACAAAAATAAACAGGGCTTGGGATTTAGCTCAGTGGTTCGGCGCCTGCCTTTCAAGTGCAAAGGCCCGAGTTTGTCCCCAATACCCCACCCCCCACCAAAAAAGCAAAAAACAAACAAAAAAACAACATTAAAAAGTAGCCAGCTGTGGGCTGGGGAGGACCTGAGTTTAATCCCCGGTCCAAATAAATAAATAAATTAATTAATTAATAAATTAATTAAAAAGTAGCCAACTGGGCCGGGGATTAGCTCAGTAGCACGGTGTCTGCCTTGCAAGCGCAAGGTCTCAAGTTTGATCCCTGGTCCCCAAATAAAAAAACAAATAACTGTGGGCTGGGGATTTGGCTCAGTGGTTCTGCTGCCTGCCTCGCAAACACAAGGGCCTGAGTTCGATCCCCAGTACCAAAAAAAAAAACAAACAAAAAAACAAATATCCAACTGATATATGCAAAAATGTTCATCATTACTTATCACCAGGGAAATGCAAATAAAAACTATAAGGGGATACCACATCACACCTATTATAATGGCAATTATGAAAAAGATAAGGAAAAAAAAAAAGGTAAGGGCCAGGATTTAGCTCAGTGGTTCCGCCACCTGCCTCACAGGTGCAAGGTCCCAAGTTTGATCCTCAGTGCCAAAAAAAAAAAAAAAGTATGCAAAAAAATAACTACAGCTAGCTGGGCATAGTGGCACGTATCTGTAATCCCAGTTTGGGAGGCTGAGGCAGGAGGATTGCTATGAGTTTAAGCCTAGGCTACACAGTGAGCTCAAGGATATCCTGAACTACAGAATGAGACCCTGTCTCAAACTAAAACCAAACCAAATCAAATCAAACCTGAGTTTGATACTTGGGTTGTTTTTATCTACTGACTTTTTTTTTTTTTTAGATTAAGAGTCTCATTCTGTAAAACCATGGGAATCCTCCTGCCTCTACACCACCACGCCCAACTCTACCTTTTTTTTTTTTTGTACTGGGGATCAAACTCAGGACCTTGCACCTGAGAGGCAGACTGCAGAACCACTGAGCTAAATTCCTGGCCCCTGACTCTACCAGTACTGATTGTAATGTTGCAAATAACATTCCTATATATGTTTAGTTCCAGTGTTCAATTCTTTTGTGTATATACCTGAGAATGGAACAAAGTCATGCCTGGCATGGTGGTGCACACCTGTAATCCCAGCATTCAGGAGGCTGAGGCAGGAGGATCGCTACGAGTTTGAGACCAGCCTGGGCTACATAGTGAGTTCCAGGTCAGTCTCAACCACATAGTGAGACCCTGTCTCAAACCCCCCGCAAAAAAAAAGGTCCTCCTGGTCTTTTTTGAAACCTCAGGTTTCTGGTTCTGGGTGCCTGCCACTTCAAGGCCTCCAGAGTGTTGTCCTCCTACATTAAAAAATAATAATAATAATAAACGAGGGAAAAGAAAACAATGTGAGATGATGAAACGATGGAAATAAAGTGTTTGTAGATGGGGAGGGGAGGAGGGGGTGAAGGGAGGGCAGGGACAAGGGGAAAAAATGAGAACCAGGACCTGTCATGTAAAGGTACAAGATCTCAATGATGAATGTAACTGTACTGTATACCTAGAATGTACCAATAAATTCAATTAAAGCTGAAAAAAAAAATGAAAGGCTGGAGGAAGAGATGTGTTAGCAGGCCCCGTCAAAAACATTTCACCTAACCAAACTATGAATAATGCTCATGAAATGCATTAAATGTACCAGTTAAATGTATACCCTGAAGATAGAAATAATAGTGTGGATTTGATGTGCAGTATAGAGACTTGCTTTGTACAGAGACTTGCTTTACAAGATATTAATTTAATGATCACAAGCAAAAAGGTGGGGGACATGGCATACTTGAGAGGGATGGTGAGACTTTAAAAAGTGGTTATGAAGCCGGTTGTGGTCACGCACGCCTGTAATCCCAGCACTCAGGAGGCTGAGGCAGGAGGATCGCTGTGAGTTTGAGACCAGCCTGGGCTACAAAGTGAGTTCCAGGTCAGTATCAACTGCATGTGAGACTCTGTCTGAAAAAACAAACAAAAAGTGGTTAGAGGGGCCAGGGATTTAGCTCAGTGGTGCCACGCCTACCTCACAAGGGCAAGGTCCTGAGTTTGACCCCCAGAACTGAAAGAAAAAAAAATGATTATAGCTGCATCTTTGTAATCTTAGCTACTTAGAAGGCTGACACAAGAGGATCCCAAGTTTGAGGCCACCCTGTGCAACTTAGTGAGACCCTGTTTCAAAATAAAAAAGGGGCTTGGGATATTCAAAGGCCAGGAGTTCAAACCCAGGACCACACACACAGAGTGATAAAGGGAAAGGACAGTATTAAATCAATAAAAAACTGATTAGAACAGCCCAAAACATGAGCATATCTTTAGCAATGCAAGAAAAGAAGAGCAGCTATCTTTCTTTTATGCAAACTGACTGGGAGAAGAGATGGAAGGTAAAGAAGAAGAAAAGATAGCCAGAAAAGAGGCTTCGTTCAGGGAATTAGAGAACTATCATAGTGATTAGGTGGCTCAGTAGAGGCCAGTTTCAATTTGAAGTGAAGGATGACCTAAGGCTTAGATAGAAAGGACCACAGAGACAGGTGGGGCGGTGCATGCCTGCAATCCTAGCTACTAAGAGGACTAAGGCTAGAGCACCAAAAACTCAGGCCGGACATGGTGGCTCACACCTGTAATCCCAGCACTCAGCAGGCTGAGGCAGGAGGATTACAGTGAGTTGTGAGTTCGAGACCAGCCTGGACTACATAGTGAGTTCCAGGTCAGCCTCAACTACATAGTGAGACCCTGTCTCAAAAAACAAAAACAACAACAAAAAAAACAACTCAAGGCCAGCTTAGGCAATTTAATGAGATCCTAAAAACAAAAATTAAAAACAGGGACCAGGGATTTAGCTCAATGGTTCCACCACCTGCCTCACAAGGGCGAGGACCCGAGTTTGATCCCTGGTACCAAAAAAAAAAAAAAAAAAAAAGTGGGACATAGCTCAGTATGAGAGTATCTGCATAACATGTCTGAGGTGCTGTTTTCAAGTACCACACTCAAAAAAGACCATGGCCAGGGGCAGTGGCACACACCTGAAGGCTGAGCATCATATTCAAAGCCATTCTAGGCAATCTGGTGACACCCAATCTCAAAAAAGAGAAAAGAGAGACCATAGCTTCCCCAGAACAGTGACTAGACAGCTTGGCTAGGCGAAAAGAACAAATTGAGACATCTACATTTGGAGCTGAGGGCAGAATTCAGTCATAGAGCCTATATTTAGCCATGAGTGAGGCCCTGGGTCCAATCTTACACCAAAAGTTTAAAAAGAAAATTGAAAGCACAAGGTCCAAGTTCAAATTCCAGTACAGAAAAAAAAATCTGAGAGAGGAATGCTCACCCAGCTCAGCACATATCAATTTTTGCCCTTAACTCAAATCAACTGGCCGGGCATGGTGTCACATACCTGTAATCCCAGCACTCAGGAGGCTAAGGCAGGAGGATCACGGTGAGTTCAAGACCAGCCTGGGCTACATAGTGAGTTCCAGGTCAGTCTCAACTACATAGTGAGACCCTGTCTCAAAAAACCAAAAAAAAAAAAAAAGAAAAAAGAAAAAATTGCCAATCAACTGAACATGAGTAAAAATAATAATATGCTTTGGAGGACTCAAAAGTAGGTTTCCTTCTTTTTTTTTAAAATGTAGTTGTCTATATTAGGTTTAATTAATTAATTAATTTTCTTATTTCAGGTTTTTTTTAGACAGTCTCACTATGTAAATCAGGATGACCTTGAACTCTAAATGATCTTCCTGCCTAAAGCCTCCCAGTGCCAGGATTACAGGTGTGCACCACCACGCCTGGCTCTATATTTTGTCTTTTGGGTTTTTTTTTGGGTTTTGGTAGCAGGAATTGAACTCAGGTCCTTGTGCTTGCAAGGCAGGTGGTGGTACCACTGAGCTAAATCCTCGGTCCCTATATTTTGTTTTTTAAAACAGAGTCTCACTATATACTTCAGGTTGGCTTCAAACTCCACCATAATCCTCCTGCCTCAGCCTCCAGAGTGCTGGAATTACAAGCATGTAGCACCACACCTGGCCGAGGTTTAAATCTTAAGAAAAAACAACTTTTCTTGTCTAGCATACTAATGTATGAATAGCTCTCGGTCTCACACAGACACCAATGAGATGCTTCAATCAAAGGAATAAAACTAATATATCTAGGTTTCCATTAAATACTCACATCTTTGTTTGCAGATAAGCTACACATTATATCTTTCGTTCTGTGGCCATGGTCCAAAGTATTCGGAGTGCTGCAGAGAAGCTGTGCCTAAAAGACAGTATTTGCTGAAAACATCCACCATTCTTGGGCCATGGGTGAGCTGGAAACCCTCTGCCTCCCACCTGAGAAACAAACCCAAACCCAAAAAAAAGAGGAGCTACTCACTGAGCTGCTTTTCATCAGGGGCTGGCAATGATTTCTGCAGATTAAAACAAACCACCAGTCCCATAAGCACACTGTAACATTTTCCTTCATCCTTTAAAGGTAATTCTGATTCTCTGTGTTGGGCCATTCCAGCTTCTCCTTCCTTTCATTCTAGGAACCCTAGTCCTAGTCAATATGTCTCTTTTAATAACAATATGTAATGTCTTCTCTGTGGTAAATATCAATACTCAAGTGACATTCTGGGGGGAAAGGCACTCATTTCACCCACAAAACCACATATATAGAATAGATGTCACCAAAGATGAGTAAGTTTCTCTTAAATATTTTTTGTGTGTGTACCTGCATGCGTGTGTGTGTGTGCGTGTGCGTGTGCGTGTGTTGCTAGATACTGAATCCAGGCCCTATAGTGCTAAACAAGTGCCCTACCACTGAGATACACTCCTACCCTGTCTTACATCTTATTGAGACACAGTTGTTTTTATCCTTTGAGTATTCCCTGGCAATCTTTTAGGATTTCAGTTTATTAACATTTTACAGTGACTGGTATGTGCTGGATACACATTTTTGTTAAATCTTTGCATTCGCATTATCTCCACGTTAGTATATTAGTAGAAAAACTGAAGTTCAGTTGGGCATGGTAGCACACACTGGTAATCCCAGCACTCAGTAGGCTGAGGTAGGAGGCTCACTGATCACTGTGAGTTCAAGGCCAGCCTGGACTGCATAGTAAGACCCTCTTTCAAAAAAAAAAGAAGAAAAAGCAACTGATGTCCAATGAAATGAAGAAACATGTCAGTCACAGCTGGTAAAGTAATCAGCAACCAGAGTCCACTCATCCCAGACCCTACACCTGCACTTTAAAAAAAAAATCTTGACAATTTCTTATTTATTTATTTATTTATTTTGGTACTGGGGATCGAACTTGGGTCCATATGCTTTTGGGGCACGCGCTTTCGAGGCAGGCATCAGAACCACTGAGCCAAACTCCCAGCCCCACCCTGCACTTTTGAAAGCAATTTTCACATGAGAATCAAAGCCTACACATAAATCCAGAATAACACTTTCCTTCACTTTTTAAGGATAATTCTGAATATGTGATGGCTAAAATGAATAGTCTTCACTTCTCTTTGTTTTGTTTTTGGAGACAAGATCTCACTATGTAGCTCAGGCCTCTAACTCAGGGCAATCCTCTCTCCTGCCTCAGTTTCCCGTGTGCTGAGATTACAGCCCTGTGCCACCGAGCTCATCCGATGTCATACCACTATTTAGACCTGAAAAACATAAAAGCTGTTCAAAATTAGGTTCTAGGGGTTGTTGTTGTTGGTGGTGTTTTTTAAGGATCTAGGTTTTGAACACTTATACTCAACATGAAATGTTTTAGAGCTGAGTGTGGTGGCTCACAGGTATAAATCCCAGTACTTGAGATGCTGAGGCAGGAGGATCTTGAGTTCCAGGTGAGCCTAGGCTACATAGTGAGTTCAAAATCAGCCTACATTACAGTGAGAACTTGTCTCAAAAAAAACCAAAAACCAAAAAACAACCCACAAAAAGAAAGAAAAAAAGTTTTTTATCCAAAAAGTCTGCATAGGATAAAAATCTGTGATCAGTGCCAAATGCCCCAGTATGGGGCTCATTTAGCAATAGGACTTAGATCCCAGCTAACTGTCTTTCCTGAGATCCTAATGAATTCAAGTGACCTGCAATCAGATATGAAGAATCAAAAAGCAGTTTGTTGTATTCCATGTGTCCTATTTTCTCCTTTGATTTTCTTCATTACTAGTAGGACTTCTTAATTTCAAAAGCTCTTGAACACAAAGCCTTTTTTTTTTTTTTTTTTTTTTTTTTTTTTTTTTTTTTTTTTTTTTTTTTTTTTTTTTTTTTAGTACTGGGGATTGAACTTGGGACCTTGCACTGGCGAGGCAGGCAGCAGAACCACTGAGCTAAATCCCCTGTCCTCTACAAAGCCTTTTGACAAGTATCATCCATTTCATAGAGCAAAGTACCAGGGAAGAAGATATAATTTCATGGAAATGAGAATTTATAGGACAGCTGGGCATGGTAGCACACACCTGTAATCTCAACACTCTGGAAAGCTGAGGCAGCAGGACTGCATATTTGATTTGTTTGTTTTTTGGTACCAGGGATCGAACTCGGGTCCTTGTGCTTTCGAGGCAGGTGGTGGAACCACTGAGCTAAATCCCCAGCCCTAGGACTGCATATTTGAGACCAGCGCAGACAATTTAACAGAAGCTGTCTCAAAAGGAAAAACAAAAAACAAAAAACAAAAACAAAGACAAAGCTCAGTGAAAAACCCCTGGGCTCAATACCCACTAAAGCAAAAAAACAAAACAAAACAAAACAAAAACAACGGGATTTACCTATGTCAACCTGGGCATGATGGCACAAACTGTGATCCCTACACTCCAAGGCTGAGACAGGAGGATTCTGAGTTCAAGGCAAGGCTGGGCTACATAGTGAGACCTTATGAAAAGAAGTTATCTATCCTTTGAAGCCTTTCACTACCTGTTTCATCAGGATATGCAGAAGTGGTAAACTGAGTTGCAGACATCTCCCCATCGCTAAGATTTGAAAGATCGAGGTGACATTTTGGGGCTCCTCTGAGACATAATAATATACCCATTAGGGTATACTATCCTAAAAGAGCAAAGATCAGGTAGCTGCTGTAATATTCATTTGAAATACCTCTCCATGACTATCACAATATCTAAACAGTATCCAAATAATTCTAATTGGTTTTTGGTAGTAGTTCAGGATGGATTAAGAAAAAGCTCCCATCCTCAGAAGGGTGTAGTGGTGCACACCTGTGGGTGAGGCAGGCGCATCACCGCGAGTTTGAGGCCAGTCTGGGCTACATAGTGAGTTCAAGGCAGCCTGAACTGCACAGTACGGCCCTGTCTCAAAAAACTATCCTAGTTAGAGAGGAAGAGATTATTTCTATTTCACAGAAAGATCCTAGACTAGACTCAGAACGGTCACACAGTCAAGGGCAGAGCTGAGACTTATAGCCTGATCTGGGATAATTAAACAAACCTGTTTAGAAAGCAAAGGAGATAAGATGTGAAAATAAAAATGGGTTAACCCGCACAAAATGCTTAGGTTTGCAGAATCACTGAGGAATCCGTCCACTGGAGATCTAGGGAAATCTCGACAGATGCTAAAGGAAGCACTTCGTTCCAGAAGCTGGTATAATATCTTCTTCTGATTGGACCTAAAACTGGGTCCTGGGCCAGAGGTTCCCCCTCTCGTGGACAAGAAGAGTTCTGTAGACAAGGTCTCCGAGTCCTCACCATGAAAAAACAAAACCCGAGAAAAGCACCTCAGACCATTGGCTTTTCCAACTCCCTCCACCTTTTCTAGCCAAGCAAATCGTCATGGAGGAGGGGCATCCCCCCAAAACGAATCACAACCTGGTCTGAAGGTTAAATTGCGCTTCCCCTAGTGGCTCGGCCTTTTAACACCTGAACACCTGGAGGAAAAAACTTCAGGTCTTTAAAGACAGAATGAAGAAAGAACTTTCACTTGTTCGGAGCCACAGAGCTTGACACCCCTGACTGGAAGAAATTCAATTTTCTAACTCACAATGAACCCCATTTGAACCCTCTGATCACTACAGCGAGGAAATCTCGGCGATTTCGTAGCCGAGACTATTGCAGACTTACCTTGTAAGTTTGGGGTTGCATTAGCCTTTGGAAAGAAAGGAAAGTGGGAAGGGACTGGACACAGCAAATGAAATGAAAATCTGAGGAAAAGAGTCAGTTAAAGAGGCTACAACTCTGCTTCTCTCGACAGTCGTGCAATACCAACAGCCACAGGGTTGACCATTCAAATCTTCCGCTGTTCCAACATCCTATCCCCGCTAGCCTATAGCTACGTTAGCCAATCGCCAAGCACGGCTCGAGGCCCTTACGGCCAATCGGCAGGCGTGTATATCACCTGGGGGAATGTACTTGCTTTGGAAGGGGCACTTGTTCCGCCTCGGCGTCAAAGCAGGATGGCTATTGGCCTTCCAGGGTTAGCCTCTCCCCCACCGACGGCCCATTGGCTCTCCCTCTGGCCAATCGCCACACCCTTCCCGTCTTGTCAATTCCCTCAGCTGCAAAAACGCCGGGAGATTTAAATTGCTCCTCGCCAGAGACGACTGTTCGCTAGGACAATACTAGGAGAGAATATTTTGAGTGGAAGTGTTTCTTTTTGCTTGCTTTATTCTCGTGTCGTTTCTCTTTAATGTTGCCAGCCTTCGGCCTGGGATGGATGATTTTCCGCCGGCGGGTCAGGTGTTAGTGCGTGACAGGTGTGCGGGTTTTCGCTGAGTGGCGTTGGCCCTTCCAAGAGGTTTCCTGCTCATTGTCCTTTTAGTGTGCAACATCTCAGAGACGCTGCTATGTGGGTAAAAAGAACTACTTTTGCACGAGCAGTAACAGAGTTGTATCACCTCTTCGTGTATTTTTTGCAATTCTAGGGGTTGAAACCCGGGGCGCTCTACTACTGAGCTAAACTCAGGCTCTTCTTTTTTATTTTGAGACAAGAGTTTCGCTACATTAGCCAGGCTGGCCTCGAACTTGTGATTCTTCTGTCTCAGCCTCCTGAGTAGTTGGGGTTACAGGCATGCACTATGCCCAGTATCTTTTTTTTTTCTTTCTTTCTTTTTGTATCGGGGATCGAACTCAGGACCTTGTGCTTGCGAGGTAGGCACGGTGCCACTGAGCTAAATCCCCGGCCCTTTGGCATCTTAATTTACTTCTTACCAAGGTTGGGAGAATCTCAGACTTTAGGTGTTTATGGAAAGTAGAACATTGGAGGGCTGGGGGTTTAGCTCAGTGGTTCCGCCGCCTGCCTTACAAGCACAAGGACCCGAGTTCGAACCCCGGTACCAAAAAAAAAAAAAAAGGAAGAAATTAGAACATTGATAATGTGAAATTCTTTGGTATGTTTTGCAGTACTGTCTGGGACTCCAACAGAGACAAGGGCATGTAAGGCAAGTGATCTACCACTAAGCTACACCCTCAGCCCTAGACCTTTCTGTGTATTTTTTGATACAGGGTCTCATTATGCCATCCAGGCTGGTCTCAAACTCTAAACTCCTGGTGATTCTCCTGCCTCAGACTCCCAAGTGCAGGGATTACAGGTATGTGCCACTTTGTCCAGCTATCCCTAGACGTTCTTAATGTCAGATATTTGCTTTTAAATAATCCTGTGAGACCCAGGCATTGTTGGGCACACCTGCGATCCTGGCATTCTGGGAGGCTGAGGCAGAAGAGCTGCAAGTCTGAGCCCAGCCTGGGCAATTCAGTGATTTAGCGAGACCCTGTGTCAAAATAAGAAATAAAAAAGTGGCTGTGGAGGTAGCTCAGTGTGAAGATCCTGGGTTCAATCCCCAGTACCAGAAAAATTAATAAATTAGCCCTGTGAGGGTCAGGGTGGGTATAGATGAAACAAAACTGGCCGTGGAAGTTGGGCAGTGGTTGGGTGGCAGGGTGTCATGTACAGGCTGGGGGTATATTCCACTGGTAGAGTGCTTGCCTAGCCTGGAAGGGGCCCTGAGTTTAATCTCTGACACCACAAAAAATTTGATGTGGATATCAACCACTTGTAGATCCTGTTAAAATATTGGTTATGATTCAATAGCTCTGGATTTTGGCCAATGCATTTCTGAAGTTTCCAGCTGATATCAATGCCTCTCCCCCTCCTCTTGCTTTTTTAAGATGGGGTCATGGTGGCCCACACCTGGAATCCCAGCACTTGGGAGGCTGAGGCAGGAGGATCACTGCAAGCTTGAGGCCAGCCTGGGCTACATGGTGAGTTCAAAGTCAGTCTGAACTACATAGCAAGACCCAGTCTCAAAACAACAAAAGGTAGGGTCTCACTATGTTGCCTCTAACTTGAGGCTCCTGCCTCAGCTTTCCAAGTAGCTGGGATTATAGGTACATGAACTGGTCCAGCTTATACTCTTTACTTCAATGTATATCTGAAAATTTTCATAATTAAAATGTTTAAAATAGCCAGGTGTAGTGGCACATGCCTGTAATCCCAGGCAAGAGGATCATAGATTCAAGCTCAGCCTGGGCAATTGAGTGACCTAGTGAAACCCTGTCTCAAAAAAAGTTGGGAAGGGCTGGGGATTTAGCTCAGTGGTGCTGCTGCCTGCCTACCAAGTGCCAGGTCCTGAGTCTGATCCCTGGTACAAAAAAAAAAAAAGTGGGGGAGGGGGGCTGAGAATGTGCCCAGTTCAAGGACCCTGTCAATCCCTTGTACTGGAATTTCAAAAAAAAAATGTTTAAAATAACTTTAGGGCCAGGGATTTAGCTCACTGGTTCTGCCGCCTGCCTCACAAGCACAAGGACCTGAGGCCAATCCCCGGTATCAAAAAACAAAACAAAAAAACTTTGGAAGTCCCTTAAAATGCAAACTCCTAAAATTCATTCAACAGGTCTAAACCGAGGCCCAGTATTTTCAAGACCAGTAGATGCTACCCATACCAACAATGGCTTGCAGACCACACTTTGAGGAACAAGTCAGAAATACAGCCTTTATCTGATGTCAGGATCTTGTTAGCGACAGTGGCTGAGAGGTGCAGTATAATCAGCCGGTGTTTATCCTAATTCCCTTTTAATCTGTGGAAATTGTTTCCCCGGAAAGGAGGTGCACGAAGAGTCTTTGTCCTCTGGGAGAGAAACTGTAACTGTGGCAGTCAGCACAGAGCCTTGTCATGCCAGGTAAGTTTGCAAGTCAGTCTGAAGGTAAAGGGAGCGTGAAAGGGTTGATCTCTGCTTTGGTGACTATAATCACTCTTCATGGGGTACAACGTTCTTCCCTGCAGGTGGGAAGTAGAGACAGATGAAGATGTCTTGCAGCGGCGGCAAAAACAGATAGATTATGGCAGATGTACACCTGGTTACCAGTGCTTTCTGCAGCAGGTCCCCAAGTGAGTGCATTTTTGGATGGTCACAAGCACGTCAACCAAGTGGCTCCGGTCCATGTCAGGTGATGGGAAGACACGAGAGTCCAAGTGCTCCAACAGAGCTGCAGCATTACTAGTTCTCTCACAATCTAGTAGTCTCCAACATAAGTTTTGAAGGTATTTCTCCAGTAGAAGAGTCATACTTGGCCCATAAAATGTTTCACAGCTCTATCTATGGTTCCTGATGAGGCTGTTTTCTTTCCAAACTTATTTCCCATGGCCCCATACTTCCAGCTGTCATTGCTAACTGCAGCACACTTGATTGATACGTGAGTGTACATGCATATATAAAACCAAACATATCAAAGAGTAGAACGTATTGTACCGTATGTCAAACACTGTCTTATGTATGACTTCTGAAGGTGGTGTAATGTAGCTGACTTACCCTTTCCAGAAGCAAGACTGCTAGGGAAGTGGGAAATTCGGAGTATAATCTGACTTGAAGGTTCACTTTTTTTGTTGAATTGACCCATCTTTCCTGGGTAATCCCTATTTTAAGTGCCCGATTCACTGTGATGTGGTGAGCCATGTCCCTTTGCTTTGACCTCAAGGTGACCTATATTTGTTGCTTCCAGAGCACAGGGACAACCAGGGCTTCACCCTCAAACACCAAACAAGAACAGGAGATACAGCCGTCGTTCCTGGGATGCTCAGATCAGGCAGTGGAGAAGAGCCCTACATACCTGGGAACCCCCCCAGCCAGCCTCTTCAGGGCAGGGGGGCCGAAAGGTGTGTTTACAATTTTGGGTTCCCTTTATAAGTAGTGGCTGAGTCCCACCTCTCTCTACTTTGCAGAGGTTTGGCTTTTATTGAGTAAAAAGGGAGGGGCTGTGTGAGTACATGCTCTCTGACTCCACTGCCTCCCTAGGCAGCAAAAGGAGAGTCTCTTAGAACCCATGGATTCTCCCTCTCCCGATGGCCTACTGGATGACTGACTCCAGGCCCTGCAGCCCTCAGAAAATCTGGACGAAGGCCAGAAGGGGGCCAAGGTAGTATATTACACTGAAAGCCACTGGAGCAGGGTCATAGATGGGTCTGACTCACTGGGGGACAATTAAGATGGCATTCAAAGAAGTGGCCCAAGAACAAAAGAATAAAGAGGGAGCAGCAGGAAAAAGTGGAAGGACATGAATTTTAAAAATTGAGAGCTCAGTGCATGCCTGTAGAGCCAGCACTCAGGAGGCTGAGGCAAGAGGATTGGTGCAAGTTCAAGGCCAGCCTGAACTACATAGCAAAACCCTATCTCAAAAAAAAAAAAAAAGAGCTCAAAGTGGCAAAAACATATTTAATTATGGGCAGGAGTGTTGGGCTGCACTTTGAGGCTATATTTGGCAGTACTGGACATTGCATCTAGGGCTTCATACATGCTAGGCAAGCACTCTAGCATTGAGCTACCTTCCCAATCTTTCCTACTTTTTAAGGCTCTCCTAAATTGTTTAGGCTGGCCCCTAACTTTTTTTTTTTTTTTTTTTTTTTTATACCTGAACTCGAACTTGGGACCTAGAGCTTGCAAAGCAGGCAGCGGAACCACTGAGCTAAATCCCCAGCCCTTGGCCCCTAACTTGTGATCTACCTCAGCCTCCCAAGTGCTGGTACTACAGACATGCATCATGGCACTGCACAGAGGCTATTTTACTTTTTCTTATTAGTATATGTTTGCAATACATAGTAATTCATCTTGGGAAATTGGCATATACTTATACACATTAAATTTGATCATTTTTATTCCTCTCCCAGCCCTTCCCGAAAGACCCCCTTCCCACCTCCACAAGGTCTACCTTCCTTTTTCCTACTATTGCTTTTATTTTTTGCATTATTTTATTTTATTTTTTTGAGACAAGATCTTGCTTTGTAGCTTTTTTTTTTTTTTTTCTGGTTTTGTAGTTTAAGCTGCCCCTGAACTCACTAGGTAGCTCAGGCTGGCCTTGAACTCACAGGGATCCTCTTGCCTCAGCCTCCCAAGCGCTGGGATTACAGGTGTGTGCCACTACTCTTGGCTTCTAAATTATTTCTATTTTGGGTTTCTCATATAAGAAAAAACATGATATTTAACCTTCTGTGTCTGATTTATTTCACTCAGAATTATGGTCTTATCCATCCATTTTCCTACAAATAAGAAATGTATCCCTATTTATGGCTGAGCAGTACCCTGTTTTGTGTGTGTGTGTGTGTGTGTGTGTGTGTGTGTGTGTGTGTGTTGTATGTGTATGATCCTTTCTTTATCCCTTCATCTGTGAAGCTATTTTAGTCTTTTTTTGGGGGTACTAGGGATCAAACTCAGGTCCTTGTGCTTGCAAGGCAGGCAGTGGCAACACTGAGCTAAATCCCCACCCCTAGCTATTTCGGTCGTGATGAAAGGAAGTATAAATTTCCTTTTAAATGAGTCCTAAAACCTGACTTGCAGTGTTGTTTTAAATTTGTTTTGCAGATTTTTGTCTTTCTTCCTTTGTTTTTGCAAATGAGCCAATGCCAACTTAACTTTTTTAACTCAACAACTTTAGAAAGCATGATTAGTAATAAAAGAGAAGCAGCCTAGTGTGAAAAGCAAGCCTTGAGTCTGAGACTTTAAAAAAAAGTCTCAGACTTTTTAATATAAACTATCAAATAGCCAGTCATTTAACCTCTTTGGCAGTTTCAGTTGGCAAATAAGGAGATAGTTTTTGTTTGTAGGCAAAAATAAATATATTTCTTAAAAATATGCCACATGATGCCTGGCACATAATATGTATGGTTAAACTTTAATTGTGGTGGTGAGCCTGTGACGCATATGCTACATCGGGCTGTTTGTATCTTTGAAAGCTCTAAAAGGTTTGCCATCACTGAAATGGAAACCATTTCACCTACACATCATGGTCTGTGGCTCTGCTCTTTCTCTTTACTAAGAGGAAACTGCAGTGAAAAATAAATCTTCACTCTCATTTCTTTCTCTTTCTTTTTTTTTCTTTTCTTTTCTTTTCTTTTCTTTTTTTTTTTTTTTTTTTTTTTTTTTTGAGACAGGACTCACTATGTATTTCAGGCAGGCTTTGAACTCTTCTTGGTGATTCTCCTGCCTCAGCCTCCAGAGTGCTGGGATTACAGATGCACACCACCACACCTGGCCCATTTTAAAAAATACCTTACTTTTCCTTTCTCTTTCAGTTTGCAGATTTGGTGGATCCAATTTCCTGCTCTCCCAGACTCAGCGAGGAAGACAGCAATTCACCTATCCCAGATTTGGATAGGGCAGAAAATATTTAGATAAAACATGTCTTTCAGGGGACTTTGCTGCTAAATGTGATAATGAAGTCACTTATGTTAATACTTTCCGAACAATTAAAAAGAAAGACAAGAAAAAAAGAAACCCTAAAACTGTGCTTTACAAAGAGATCACAACGTGATGGCATTGTTTAAAACCTCTCCTTTTTCTTTCTTCTTTTTTGTCTCTCTGATGCTGAGACTCGTGTTTACAGAGGAGCCAGAAACTACCTAATTTCTTCACCTACTTAAGTCTACATTCCATCTCTTTAAAAAGGAATTGAACTTTGGCTGAGGTGGGAGATGGTAGCAGTGGTGAAGACTCAATAAAAAGGTGGTTTCCCTTTCCCGAAGAGGAAATATAGTGCCGTCAACATCGTTTGCCCATCCGTCCTTCTCCTCCCTTCCTTTCTGTCTTAACAACGGTGGTCCAACTGTAACCACCGTACCCCCCACCCCGCGCAAGCAACTGAACCGTCTATGATGTCATAATCACAATCCCATTACCTCATCCTGATGGGGGGGTGGAGGGAGGAGAGACAGTGCACAGCCCTGGGCCCCCCTCAGCTTTACAATTGTTCTGGGTGAGGGTGAAATTACAGAACCAAGTGGGCACGCCCCCGTAACTGTTATAAGCGCTGGGTTTATAAGGTTCGACCAGATTCAGCAGCTGAAGAGGGGCTCCGGGGACTCAGAGCAGGCCCTAACCGGCGCTTGGACTACATTTCCCAGCAGTCTCCACGCCGCGGACCGGTCCTTTGTTGGGGGAAGGGGGATTCTTTCAGAAAGATGTCCCTGTCGCTCCGAACCGGAGAGCGGGTGAGAGACACAGTAGATGACTCTATTAAGCGGCCTTGATGGAGTAAGGGCCTGCATCTGGGTCGATGTAGGGATGAAAAGCGGGGATAATGGCTTTGTTTACCTTCGTCCGACATGACCTCCCCCGTGAGTTCCAAGATATGCCTCTAACTGGGTCAGTCCACTTTCTGCGATCATTTGGAGGGGTGACTCGCCAGGGGCGGAACCACTCCGTCCCTAAACCAAGGCGCCACGCGCGATCTCGACAGAGCTATACTGGGAAGACTTTAAGAGGCAAACGGCACAGGGTTTGGACTTCAGCGGGCGGTTCACAGGGATTCTGCGAACCGGAGAGATCCCCCTACTCTCCTCAGTGGCCTGTTGGTTTGCGCCGGCGCCTTTTAAGGGCACCGTGGGGCGAACGGAGCGCTCAGAGCTGCTCTGGCCGCGGCCCTGGGAGCTGGAGGAGCCGCGGTAGGTGGCGGAGGGCAGGTGGCGCTGGGGCCTTGGGGCGGGCATCTCGGCTGTCCCTCCCTTCTCTTTCCCATCCCCCAGCGCAGTAGCCCGCGCGGTCAGGCCTCGAAGGCCGTCTCCGCGGGGAGAGCACAGAAACAGGTGGGGGAGGGGTGGGGGAGGCTAAGTCCCAGACCCTCCCCATCCTGCGTCCTGAGTTCGCTTCCCGCGGCCCCGTGATAGAACAGGAGTAGGAAGAGGCGAGCGACAGTTCCTCCTGAGCGAGCCCTGGCACCCCCCGGGGGGGGCAGCGGAAGCCCCATGCCCCACCCCGCGGGGACAGGCAGGGCCACAGAGGGAGAGATTGAAGATTGGAGGGGGCCTAGTCGTTTGCTTCTTCATGGGAGTGGGGGGAGGGGTGCTCTCCACTTGTCACCCCTGTCCACACCAGGACCTATGGAGGAAGAGCATTCAGGTCTCCACTTACCTGCTCTTGCACCTTCCTGCCTCCTTCATGTTTTCCTTCAGTCTCCCCCAGAGGTCTGGCTAGGACCTGAGGGGAAGGTCCCTAGGGGGCTTGGAGCTCTCCTCTCCCTTGGCCTGACTTGATCCCGGGTTGTCCAGGTTTCAACACAACCTCAGCATCCCTGAAACACGAGTGTCAGGTTTACTGCCATCCAATAGGACACGAAGAGGGGATCAAATCCTTATTTTAGGGAGCTTGTGCTGGAGTGAGAGCCTGGACTGAGAGTTAGGCCTAGCGGCCTGCTGCACTCTGAAGGGCTGAACCCTGTGCCAATTGTTAAGCTGAGAAGTTTTAACTTGTTAAGTGAATGTTTAGGGCTGTCTCTACCCTCAGATACACAAAATGGAAGGGGAAGGAAGGCGGCTAGAGAGGGCTTCTTAACACTTTTTTCAATGCCTGCTTGAGAAAGAGGAGGCCCCTCGCAGAGCTGGTTTGCCTTCTTTTGTGTCCTGGTTTGATTCCTTATGGCTTCCGTTCTGTTCCCCCTTTCTGGCCTGTTTTAGGAAACTCAGGCTGAGAGTATCAGTTGTGTAGTGGTAGTTGCATTGTTCCAATTACGGCTGTGTGTGGCCACATCCCAACAATTAAAATACAGAAAAACACAAAATCCCTCTCTTCACTTAATTTTAGAGAGGGCTAGGAGTTTGCTGTTTGTCCAAATGCCTCATGAAAAGCTTGAAAGAGTTTGTTTCACTCCTTGCTCCTCATGGCTGGGCAGCCTGAGGCCTGGGGTCTCTCTAGGATAAAAGCCTGCAGTTAGGTTCCCTGTCTGGTTCATCTTTGAGGGCAGAGTTAAGGAACCAGGAGCAGAAGTGATAAAAACTTTAGCTTCTCCCATAAAAACATAGGGGAAGCAGCTTATAGGAGCTCTCAGGAAGCTGGAACTTTGTTCAGGGTGGTAGTAATAACTATGCGTGAAAATGATAGTTAACTATAATGATGATTGACTTCTGTACCTTTCTTCCAAAGAACTCCAAATACATCCAAGTGTATTTCTTTGCTCTACCTTTTGGCCTCCCTCTGCGGTGGGCATAGAGTAGAGATAATTCCCTTTACTGTAAAGGGTGATCTGCCCACAAGGTCTCAGAAAGAAGAGCCATCCCAGGCTCCCTTCCTTTGGTGAGCCAGTGAGGGAGAGTGGCATGCAGACAGAAAGACAGACCCTGTTGCTTTCTTCATCTTAATGATATCATTGCTGCTGGCATTACCGAGGCTTTGAAGAGCAACAAACAGGAGGGATGAGAAACAGATGTCTGTGTGTACTCTTGACTTTCACAGGCTATTTGTATGCTTTTATACACTGAAATTTCATGTTAATTCATTCCTGTGACAGATAAAGATTACTGTGCCCATTTTACATAAGGATAAACTGAGGATTTGTTAAGTGATTAACCAAAACTCTCAGCAGATTGGATTAAGACTTTAGTTTCTTGATTGATCATTCTAATCATTCTACTTGCTGATGCTACATAAACTCTCTGGTGAGCTATCTACCTGATAGTAATTTCTGGAAATAGTTTGAACAGTCCAAGACCCTGCCTTAACTTCCCCTTTGTCCTTGAGCAAGGCCCCTAAGGCAACTGATGTCTGATAAGAGCTTACTGCTATCAGAAAGTAGCTAAGAGAAAGATTTTTTTTCATGACAGGGTCTTACTGTGAAGTCTGTCCTGAACTCCCTGTGTGTGTGGCCCAGGCTAGCCTTGAACTTGTGATCCTCCTGCCTCAGGCTTCTGAATCCTGGGGAAAAAGAATCTTGATTAGTTATATCCATGTTCTTTTTGTCAAATCAGCCTGATACCTAAGTTGAATGAAGTCACAGAGTTATTTTTAATATCTGTAGAGTTGAAATGCAATAAATTATCCTGACCATTTCTTTATTTTCTTGTCTTTTTCTCAATACCAAGGATTCAACCCAGGGCTACATACCGAGCTACATCCCAGCCCTTATTTTTATTTTTCTGTTACTGGGACTTGAACTTGGTCTTGTGCTTTTCAGCAGGCACTATGCTGCTAAGCTACATCCTGGCCCTTTATTTTATTTATTTATTTATTTATTTATTTATTTATTTATTTATTTATTTATTTATTTATTTTGTGGTACCAGGGATTGAACTGAGGACTTTGAGCTTGTAGGCAGGCATGGTGCCACTGAGCTAAATCCCAGCCTAGCTAAATCCCGTCCTCCCTTTATTTTATTTTATTTTGCTTATTTTATTTATTTATTTATTTATTTTTTTTGTGGAACCGGGGTCAAACTCAGGACCTTGTGCTTGTGAGGCAGGCATGGTGCCACTAAGCTAAATCCTCAGTCCTTTTATTGCTTTGGGGGGGGTGTTTGAGACAGGGTCTCATTATGTAATTGAGACTGACCTGGAACTCACTAGGTAACCCAGGCTGGTCTTGAACTCACAGTGATCCCCCTGCCTCAGCCTCCCAAGTGCTGGGATTACAGGTGTGCACCACCATGTAGAGCACAAACAAGTGACAGATTTGTTAGATGCCTATTAATTTTTTTCTGTGAGTGCTGAGAATTAAACTCCAGATCCTACACATGCTAGGCAAATGTTCTACCACTGAGCTACCCCTCAGCTCCCTTTTTGTAATTTTTAATTTTGAGACAATTTCTAAGTCACCTAGGCTGGACTTGAACTAGTTATCTTCTTGCTTCAGCCTTCTAGAGTGCTGGATTACAAGTGTATATCACCGTGCCCAGCTTCTTATTTTATATTCATATTCGTATTTGTTTTTGGGTTTTGTTTTTTTGGTACCCAGGATTGAACTCATGACCTTGTGCTTGGGAGGTAGGCATGGTGCCACTGAACTAAATCCCAGCCAATTCATAATATTTATTTTCTATTTTTTGAAATTTTATTTTGGTACCGGGGATCGAACTTAGGCCCTTGCACTTTTGAGGCAGTCATTGGAATCACTGAGCTAAATCCCTGACCCCTATTCATAATATTTATTGAAAAATAATACTAGCTGGGCGTGGTGGTGCATGCCTGTAATCCCAGCACTGGGGAGGCTGTGAATTCACAGGAGGATCACTGTGAATTCGAGACCAGCCTGGACTATAGAGTGAGTTCCTTGTCAGCCTCAACTACATAGTGAGACCCTGTCTCAAAAAAAACAAACCCAACTATATCAACTGTTAAGGCTATATAGGAGGATATAAAATCCTGTCTGTTTTGTTTGTGACAGGGCATCCTTATATACTTCAGGCTGGCCTTGAACTCACTATGTAGTTCAGGCTATCCTTGAACTCTCAGTGATCATCCTGTCTTAGCCTCCCAAGTGCTAAGATTACAGGCTTGCACCACCATCCCCAGCTAGTCTGGTCTTTCTGATGCAGAAAGAAGTCATACCTATAATCATTGCTCCTCCTGTACTTTATTTCTATATTTTAGAAGAGGAATACCTCTTGACTTCTACCTAGAAGATAAAGTATCAGGCCAATCAGGATGGAAATAACGATTTGGGCATTGCTCTCTCTCTCACTTGAGCTATTTTCTTAGTGGTGCTGGTATTCCAGGTAGAAAGCAGAGCATGAGTCATGTTAGGAGTAAATAGGTTTCAGTTTGCTTGCCAAGTCCAGTTCAGTTTACTGGATATCTGGAGTGCCAAGTTCAGAAGGTTTTTGAGGCTGTGTTTAGGTTTAGCAGAAAAGAGCTATGATCAATTAATGATGTCTGCCAGAGGCCTGGCATAGGTGTGCTGTGGTGTGTATGCCATGCATTTTCCATCTCTGGACTAGGTGCATCTCTAATGTCACTTGGGGCTGGTCCCTCTGTAATTGGCAGACTCAGCAGGCATGACTGGAGAGGGAAGTCCCAATGGTGCTAGAATGGTGCTGCAGTGGCAGAAGACGGCTCACGAGTGAGGTCTGGAAGAACAACAGGGAAGACATCCATCATTTGCTCCAAAGTGTGCAAGTCAGATCCTGGGGAGAATCATGATAACTCTGATCACTGAGCAGCTACAGAAGCAGACTCTGGATGAGCTGAAATGCACACGCTTCAGCATCAGTCTGGTAAAAGACCAGTCTTCCTGCTTCTCCATGACCCCTTTCCCCTTTTTTCTGAGGCTGTTTGTTGCTACTATTTTACCCTTGTTCTGTGTTGTATGAATCATTGTACTTGTAATGGAAGAGCCCACTAAACGCTCACAACCCAGCCCAAAAGGAAGGGGTCAGGGGTTTTTCCACTGATAGAGAAAAGCCATCAAAACGTGGGTGGAGAAGGGTTTAAGGTATTGGAAGATATGGATTGTTTTACTCACTAATTTTGGGAAAACAGTAGGAGGAGAACACGTAGGAAACTCTAACACCCCTGGAACCCATGAATTGCAGGGAAAAGTTGGAGAGGGCTCTTAGAAATCTCAGTATGTCCTGAACCTGAATCCTCATGGACATTTTCTTTCTCTCTCTTAGCCTTTGCCTGATCATGCAGACATCTCCAACTGTGGGAACCCTTTCCAGCTTGTGTCTGGTAAGGTTGTGTGTGTGTGTGTGTGTGTGTGTACATTTCTCACATTGGCTACCAGTGACCAGAATTAACTAGTCTAGCTCTAGACACTTATTGCCAGAGGGTCACTTTCTAAGGTCACCCTTGTTTCCATATTACTGTCCCAGAATATGTTATAAAGTGTGTTTATTTTTATTTGACCTTATATAGACTTTTCTAATTGAGAATTTTTGGAATTTTTTTGAATTTTTTGGAATATATATAATATATTTACATGGTTCAAAAATTTTAAAATAACAAAAATGTTATACTGTAAAATTCTTCTCTTGCCCCTTATCTACTGAGCACTTAATGCCTCCCTGAAAATAACTGCTGGATCTGGGCCCAGTGGTAGAGTGCTTGGCTTGCATGTGTGAGGTCCTGCGTTTGAACCCTGCACTCAAAAAACAAAAAAGTAACTCCTGTTACTAGTTTCTTGTATGTCGAACCTGAATTCCTTTATATAAATAGAAAGAAATATAACATTTATTATTATTTTTTTGTACTAGAGATCGAACTCAGGATCTTGCGCTTGCGAGGCAAGCATGGTACCACTGAGCTAAATCCCCAGCCTCCAACGTATTTATTCTTATTCCCACTTTTATAATATAAAATGTTTTATATTGTATGTTATTCTATGCTTTTGTTTTGTTTCGTTTGTTTATTTATTTTTGGTGCCCAGGATCAAACTTGGGTCCTTGTGCTTGCGAGGCAGGTGGCAGCACCACTGAGCTAAATCCCCAGCCCTCTTTCATTTTATTTTGAGACAGGTTATGCCATGTAATTCAGGCTGGCCTTGAACTTACTATGTTGCTCAGGCTGGTCTTGAGCTCATGGTGATCCTCCTGCCTCAGCCTCCTAAGTGCTGGGATTACAGGTACGTGTGCATTTCCACGCCTAGCCTATACCTTTTTTAAAAAACTTAATGCATCCAGGAGATCTTTCCCTGTCAGTATGCTGAGCATTTCTGTCTTTAATACGGCTTCATATTCTTAGACTGAATGGATAGATGAACTAGTTTAATTAACCATTCTCCTATTATGTGTATTTATTTTTAGTCTCCACTACATAAAACTATAGTGAATAGTAAATAGGTCATTTTTCACATATGAAAATATACCTGAAGTGTAAATTTATAGACAGTGAATTAATCAAAGGGCCTATGATTGTAGGCATAAGTACTATACAACTAGAACTCCCTAAGCTATGCTTCTGGGCTGTTCTGCATCTTGTTTTCTTTTTTCTGGAATACCTGACAAAGGAAGTGAGTTGTCATAAGCATCTTCATTCAGTGTCTTCCTGCTGTTTATTAAATATTTGCTGAGTGTCGAGTGTTGTGCCATAAGGACCCATGAGCTCTGCCCCCTTGGAGGTTAATAGGAGAAAGGACTATTGACCAAACAGAGTTAGGTGTGAATTTTATCAGTATTGGGTCTGACTTCATATACTTGTCATTTGTTCCAAATATCCAGCCCCTGCAGAATTCCAGCCAGTTAGCCAGTGGGGCTTGGAGTAGGCTCTTTGTCCCTTAGTGAGCTATCTCCCTGAAGTCCCAATTTTGGTTGGAATACAGTAAATGAGAATCATTTCTTTTAGCACATTTCCCCTTCTTTCCCTTGCTTCCCCATCTGTTTGGCTTTAAGAGAAGCCTAAGAGAAAGGAACCAGAGTATGTGGGTGGCCAGACACAAAGGAACATGAGTAGCACAAAGTCTTAGGGTTCCCAAAACACAGGTTCCAGTATCAGAGGCCTTCCCCACCCTTTTTACCCTCCCTGTGGATTACAGTGACCTCTTACCTGCTTGATCACCTCTTTCTTTTTGGCAGCTCTGATTCCTGTCTTGGTCTTCTTAACATAGGAGAATGGAAAAAGCAGATAGTGCCAGGTAGAATGGAATGAGGAGATGAGCAGGGTACTCAACAGACATATTTGTTTCTCTTGACTTGTTTTACCTATGAGAGGGAGTGGTAGGCCAGATATGAAATAAGTTTTTGACTCCGAGTGATTGCTCACAATGGAGGCAGTGTAGCATAGAAACCTATCTTGGCCTCAGAAGACTGAGTTTGAATCTTGCTTTGGTTATTGATTTCTATATGATTTGGAGCAAGTTGGGAACTTTCCTTCTCTATGAAATGGGGATAATCATACTACCTGCCTCAAGGAGGTTTTTGGGAAACCACAGGAAGTACTCAGTACATTGTCTGGCACATAAACTGTTTAAAAAAAAAAAAAGAAAAGCTAATGCTGGTTGTGGTCGCACATGCCTATAATTCCACGCATTCAAGGCCAGCCTGCGCTATATAGTGCTTCCAAGTTCAGCCCAAACTACATAGTGAGACCCTGTCTCAAAAGAAAAAATTAGCTATTATTAATATTTTTTACTTTTCCAGAAGGTGCTTCCTGGAGGGGCCTTTCCCACTGTTCCTGTGCTGAGTTCCAGGACAGCCTCAGCTTCAGCTACCACCCCTCAGGCTTGAGCCTGCACCTCAGACCACCTAGTCGGGGAAGCTCCCCACAGGAGCTGCCCCTTTCCCAAGTCCTAAGCCCTGAGCCCCCAGACCCAGAGAAGCTTCCTGTGCCCCCTGCTCCTCCATCCAAGAGGCACTGCCGCTCACTTTCAGTGCCCGTGGACCTGTCTCGCTGGCAGCCGGTGTGGCGGCCCGCCCCCTCCAAGCTGTGGACTCCCATCAAGCACCGGGGCAGTGGCGGAGGGGGTGGGCCGCAGGTGCCTCACCAGAGCCCCCCGAAGCGGGTCTCCAGCCTCAGGTTCCTCCAAGCTCCCAGTGCCTCTTCTCAATGTGCCCCAGCCCACAGACCCTACAGCCCTCCTTTCTTCAGCCTGGCCCTGGCCCAAGATTCTTCTCGACCCTGCGCCACCTCCCCTCAAAGTGGCTCCTGGGAGAGCGATGCTGAGTCCCTATCACCTTGTCCACCCCAGCGTCGCTTCTCCCTGTCACCCAGCCTGGGTCCACAGGCAAGCTGCTTCTTGCCCTCTGCTCGGAGCTCCCCAGCATCCTCCCCAGAGCTGCCCTGGCGACCTCGAGGTCTCCGCAACCTTCCCCGAAGCCGTTCACAGCCTTGTGATCTGGATGCACGCAAAACTGGGATCAAGCGGCGCCACGAGGAGGACCCCCGACGTCTGCGGCCTTCCTTGGACTTTGACAAGATGAATCAGGTGGGACCAGCAAGACTAGAGGACCTTGGGTGGGAGTGGAGGTTACTCTATTCTATTCATACTTTTTATTTTGGACAGGGTCTTGTTTTGTAGTTCAGGCCGGCCTTGAACTTGTGATGAGGCCCAGGCTTTTTCTTTTAACTTGAGGCAGTCCTCCTGCCTTAGCCTCCTGACACACCCAGCTGTTACAAGATTTTAGCTGTTGCCTAGCTCCACACCCTCCTGGCTGGGCCTCCCCAGACTTTTTTTTTTTTTTTTTTTTTTTTTTTTTTT